AGTAAATAAAACCATTTGCATGTGAGTTTTATCTATGTTTAAAATGTAAATAGAACGTTTGCGACCCCCCTGCTTTCTTTGTCTTTTAGTTTTAAAGTTGATACCTGAAGGCCTAAACGTATTTTTTGAGAGTGGAAAAGACTTATGACCTAAAAAAATTGTGAGGCACAAAAATTTCTGTATAAATCACAGAGGTATAATAGATTGTGTTCTCCTTGCCATACTCTCCACTGTTGTTTGTTTTGGCTAAAGCAGTTAGACGTTAATTCTGCATTGAAATAAATCTTACATACAGATTTGGAAGTTGTTAGCAGATGGCTAACTCCACTGGGTATGTCACCACTGTAGATTAATAGGGACTTCATGATGTATATCCAGAACCAAAAGCCCTGTGAACACTTTTGCTCTTATAAAATTTAGTGTATGCAATGCAGTAGGAGATTTGTCACAGCAATCCAGCTTGCATTGTAGACACATTTGAGAATTACTGCATCAGCTGTTTACTCGCCAACTGTCTCATTCACCTCTCTGCTCTTGCAAATGGACAGTGTTTTGGCCAAAACAAAAACTTATTCGGAATATTTGACACCTGGAAGGAAACCATCAATGTTCCTTCTAAACAACACCCCAGTGCACATTCACACAGTGCCATCACATCACACCTGCCATTTGCAAGTGTGTCCTCTGTTGCTTTTTTGAATTCTGGACAAACTGTACTGATGAGTCATCAGTCTGCTCATCTGATGACATGGTGGGAAATCTTCCCCTGTCATTATCCTTCTCTCCTGTCAAAGTGAACATCACAAAACCAAACTGCTTCATGCAACTCAGTATTATTTCATTGTGATCAAGCTTTGACATGGCCAGATTGATAGTGTTGCTGCCAGGTTTCAGCCTTCACTCTCTCATGTCTTAGTATTAAAACCATATTTTGCTTTTATTTCCCCCTGTGTGCTTACCAGCAGGGCTGTAAATATGTGGGTGTGGGTTTTTGTAAGCAATGCCAATGGCCCAAGGGATTCTGACTATCCATGGCCAAATCAATTCAGGCACTTTGGAGATTAATTTCAGGCAGGGCTGCCAAAGTGTAACATATACCACAGGCTATAAACTTTTAAAACATTTTTCTTCTGGCAGCTCTTCTGTAGATGGTTAAATCTGTTCTAATGTGTTGTCTAACTTATTTAGATACATCTTTGGCATTCACTGTAGGTTTCATGGCTTAATATGAGTGAACTCAATCACATGCAAGCATACATTGTAAGCAGAGACTTTGTCACTGTCATTGATTGTGACTCTCTTTTCAGACATTAAGTATGCCAGTTAAGACATATTGTGTGTTTTAGGACCCTAACCGTCTACTTAATCACTGCCAACCATCTCTCGAATTGTACCATCTATTTTTACGATGTTGGAATTACATTTTACTGCCTACCAGGGCAGTATCCAGAATTTAAAGAATACTGAGTCCAAATTGGCCGAGCACAGCTTCAGAAATGTTTGACATATCCACCCAAAAATGTCTTCTCTGACATTTCTAAATTGTATAAATGAAATGAACCTTTCATTTGGAGCTTGACATTTGGTGACTCCTTGAAGGAAACACGTTTGAACTTCCCACCAGCACAACACTGTAATCCATTCCAGTAAATAGAAATGAATGTCAGTACTGAACACATTTGAAGTGTCAATAGATTCAAATTGACACCAAGTAATCACAACAGTTTTGATTGTATCAGACAATGTTCCTTAGCAGATGAAGTTTGCCTAGTTGTCATGTGATTCTAGATTACAGTTTTTCTGAGCACTTTGCTGATATTACATCCATATTGGCCTCAAAATCGATATTTAAGGTTTTTTTCTTGAACTTGGAAAACACTATTTGATGAAGCTGTCCCTAAAGGTTTTATTTAGTAGCTGTTCTGGAGTTTTTGATCATTTACCACCATCTTTCAATGTTTTAAACTTGTTAATTCACAATTATAATTACCCTAATTGCCGTGCCGCATAACTTTAGCAAAACAAAAAAAATGTGTCATGTGAAATGAAAACTCTCTACAAGCAGATTTCACACAGCATGAAGAATGTTAAAAAAAACTGTGCCTTTTTTTAAAGTATGCTTCGGAAAATGTTCAACAGTTAAGTGAGGGTAAACCCTGTAGAATTTGCAGTTAATGGTCTTGCAAAAAGTAGTGAAACATGCAAAAACACTGATACAGCCTATGGCAGAGCAGTTATGGTTGATTTACAGCTGTTCCTAAAAAGCATTTTTATGGTATAGGAGGTTTTTAAAAGTGTGTGCCTTTGGGAGATTGTGGCAAGTGATAGCACATTAACATTTCAAGTTTATACATGAACCATTAAAGCTGTTTCCACGGGGGCTGCCTAGAATCATACACTGTATTTTCAAGAGCACATGGGCCACTCATAGTTTTATGTTCATCTGTCTGAGGGCTCAATGGAAAGAGTTTATTCTCTTAATCCATATCTGCAATGTATGTGCATATATTTCATAATTATGTCTGTGTAATGTGTGGTTTTTCCTAGAGAAGTACTTTGACTTGACATTGATGTGACGCTTCCTCACCACTAGAGGGCAGTGGAGGCACTCTTTGTACACAAATTAACTACTGTCTTTGCTGCAGAGTGCAAGTGAGGCCAAGGGATGAATCAGATCAGATACTAATCTCAGTCTGTGTTGCTAAAACTGGACACTCTACTTACACTGTTCAATGACAACAAATACCAGGAATGCCCAGAAATTATGCCAGCTATTCTCAGGACTGTAGGAAAAAACTAATTCCCCTCTTTCTTCGGGCTAGACTTCCCCTTCGTAATTAGCAGATAAATATGAACAAGGAGCAATACAGTCATACAATCTGACTACGTGATAGAATTTGAGAGTTGTCTAACTGCCCATGTTGCAAAAAATAAGCATGTCAACAAAAACATGTTTACATAATTAATTGAAATTACACCAAATTAGGCCAATAAACTCAATAATAAGTATTTTCACATGATAATGAGTTGCCAAAATATGCTTTTAATTGACAAACATCTCTACTTATGTACTTACAACATATATAATTTTTTCGCCCACAAAACAACTACATCAGTCATTATTATAAGATATTGAAATCTTACAACCAATAATACTATCATTATAATATAGTTCTCCTTTCAGTGTATTATGTCCAAAAGTAATAATAATAATAGATTACATTTGTATAGCGCCTTTCAAGGGACCCAAGGCCGCTTTACATGGTGAATAAACAAACAAAAGGGGCAAATAATAAAGTACAGAAAGGTTGTTGTAAACTCTGATACCACAGACGTACTTTAAATCCTCAGAATATGGAGAGAAAATAGGAATTTCAGTTATTAAATTAAACTTTAGTTTTTTCTTTGGTTAACTTTCAAAGGTGACAAACAAAAGTTGTTAAAACTGTGTTTACAGTGGTCTGTAGTGCATAGTGCAGGCCAAATGGAAACATGGGATTTATCAGATAATCCGTTTTGAGGTTTTTCTCAATTCTCTTTCAGTATGGAAACCAGATGCAAATAGGAATTCATTTGGCATGATAAATGTTTATAAAACATAAGGGAAGTGTAGAAACATTGAAATGGCAAACAGAGCCAAACATTTATTCCGGTCTGCCATTCATTATATTGGAATGAATGCACAACCTTGTACAGTATAACATTACATATCTAAAAGGTCTCTCACGGTGTATATATTTCACATATTTTATAATTTTGTTTCGTAGTGCTTTGAGTTTTCCATGCTTAGAATCGACAAAATTGCAGCCAAACTTACTTTAAACTATAGAGCTGCTGTTGTTATTTTTAAGATCTGCAGCTATACCTATATCCATCAAGCTATGATATAACTGCCAAATCCTATATTAAGAACATGAGTACTCAAAGAGCACTCACCTCACCAAGGATGCACAACCATTCTGTTGTTTTTACGATAAAAAATGCTTACACGTTTTTTTACATTATGAAGGATCGTATGTTCAATACTTATCATAGACTTTACTTATGGTTTTCTGTTCAGACATTTACCAAGTCACTCCCTGCATGCCTTGCTGATCAACTGCCACTTGGAGCCTTTAAATGTTACATTCAATGTTGTCACTTGACACCTCAAATCAACACCCATTGTCTTTTTGTTAAACAGTCAACACTGGGCAAACAGGTTAATTAGTTAAAGATGATATCATATTTTTTTTTAATGTGATTAGGTGAACCTACACTCACGTCACAAATACCATTTTTGGTTGGATATCGGATCTGTAATATATTCGTATGTTGCTTTCAGTACACCTCAAATGAAATGTATAAACACCCTTTTTCTTAGGCAACTGCTGTTGGCGACAAGAGTCCAGGCCAGGAAACAGTCCAGCACATGACCTCTGTAAAATCACAACATGATGTTTTTTATATATTGATGTAACTTATTGATTAGAGAGCTGATAAATGCTGGTACCTGCTGACAGAGCTGATTTCCTGTTTCCATATGCTAATAAGCTGGTGGGTGTGGCTTTTTATTCAGTGGTGGTGGTATTGATCTTTTCATATCAGCAATAAAATACTTACTCCTTTAATTAGGCTATATGTCTCTTGGAGTTAACCTGCCAACGGGTAAACACATGGAAAAGAAAACATGACATAATGTGATAGTAAAAGTGTGAAAGGGCGTGTAATTGTAATCAGTAAATGTTAATCTGTGCTTGAGCTGTGAATGATTAAACATTTAGACAAAGATGGATGGGGGATAAGATATGTGTAGGGTAATGGGGGGTGGGGTGTCACCTTCTGTGCACTTGATTCCCAGCTACGCCTCTGATCAGTGGCAGTCAAATCAGAGATGTGAGAGAGGAAGAATAGAGCACAAAGAGGGAAGGCAGGAGAAAAGACAGGGAAGGAGGAGGAGTAGGAGGAGGAGTAGGTCCGCGTAAACCACGCCTCCGGTCTCGTATCCTCTCGCAAGTCTTATTCACAGTCTCTCATGTAGAGGATAGAGAAAGAAAGGAGAGAAACAAGAAGAAGGGCACACGAAGAAGAGGAAGGGAGCAGCAAAACGACCATGGCAATACCCAAAACGTCTCAGCTTGAGATAGTGTCCGATCACAGCACACCTCTACCGCCGTCGACTACTGCACGGACCATGCAGCCGCACAAAAGACAGAGCCCAGATGAATGAGGAGCTGTACCTGGGCCGTGGACAAAATGAGGGTCATCTTCATCCAAAACGCCGGTTTCGTCGCAGCTTTCTCGCCTTTTAGATGTGAGTCGGTGATGTTGGCAGCGTTTAGGACAACAGATAAGGTGAACGAGCCAGAATTAACCACAGCTAGATCATGCAAGTCGACTGAGGAGTGAGGAGATCAGACCGATTGATTTAGTGTTTCTTTTATTGGGATAGAGTTTGCACATACATTATAGCCAATTTATCATATTTAAAGCCAGCGTATGTTCAGTTTCCGGCATGCAGCCTGCTGTCGAAATCTGAATACATATTTTATTACATATTGGCAAATAGAATAACATTTATCCAGTGATACAGGACTATGTATCAGGTAATTATGGACCGATAATGTCCTTACAGACTCTTTGTGCTTAATCTATTAGCAGATTAATTATATAGCAATAATAACATGAATAGGTAGGAGGAGTGTCTCTGTTCGCTTTGATCAAAGCCATTGATCAACTAAGACAATCTGGAAATGTTAGTTTCCATGTGTAATTATAGGCTATGACTAATAGGCTAAGCGTTATTCCTTGTAATTTATTTATTTATTAATAGCCTACTGTTATTAGACCTATAAGTATTATATTATCAATTTATTTTAGGTAGGTAGTTTGAAATATTTAACAGTGGGAAGGTTATTAAAAAACTTCCCTAGTGAGATGGAAACCTCTTATTTATCGCCCCACCGGGGGGCACCCCGTCCCGAGGCCCAGAGAGGCCAAACCTCAGCGGGCAAACCGGCGGGGGGTGACCTCTCCCCTTCACCTCCACCTCCAATACTACCTGCCGGCACCTCACCCGAAGATACCCCGGCAAGCAGTGATGGACGGAGAAACTCGGGCGTGAAGAAACACCACCACAAGCACAACCTGAAGCATCGCTACGAGCTGCTGGAGACGCTAGGAAGAGGCACATATGGCAAGGTCAAGAAGGCCATCGAGCGACACTCCGGCAGAGAGGTGAGCCACTTAAGAGACGCTCTAAGCAGCTATAAACATATGTCATGATGCTTTTAATGGGTTTGTTATACATGCTTACTTCTGAAGCACCTTAGTAGCCTACAAACAACATTGGTCCCAAAATAAGTGCTTGGTTGCTTTCCTTGGCGTGTGCATGTCCTTCCCCTCTGGGAATTCCCCCTGTGCTGAAAGGGCCCATGGGGCCAGAGAGTTGTGGTTGCACACGCCTGTTCTTTGCGGGGCCTCACGACCGGATGCTGGAGTGCAAAATCCGGCTACTGACTGACTGATGGGACTCCAGTGATCCGAAAGCATCATGGAAAACAGCTAACAGTCCCCCAGAGAGGCTACTAGGGCCCACTCACATGTTTGTGGTCAGTGTTTTAGACACCCTCTACATCCTTTCAGTTCTGTTTTGAGTGGGTGTGAGGGTGTTTGCATCATTCTAACACTTTCTGTTTCTTTATTTGTAAATATTTCTTGGCTTTATTTGCTATAGTTGACTCATCCTCTGCTCTAATGTCATTGAAGACCATCACATCTCTGCAAATATTTTTTTATATGCTCCTGTGGCAAAATGTGACCCCTGTACCCAACCGGCAGGACATGATGAACTTTCCATGTGCAGAAAATACCAGGGGGAAATTTAGTATAGGTCAAATACTTCCCCTAATGGTTTCAAAGCTCCTGCATGCTTGCTAAGGGAATCATAAAAACTCCCGTAAGGCTACTCTCTCTTGGCCTGTCCCACTTGGCTCCTTGTACTGTCTTCAGTATGTTTTCCTATTTATTATTGCCATGGCAGCAGCTCTCATGTGAAGTATTTTACTTTCACTTGTATTATAAAATTGCACAATGCATGTTTACTGAATGGGTCAAGATACATTATTTTTTATACTAAGTTTGACATATTGTTCCCTTCATTTAACTCAGATTGGCTGAATCTTTTTTGCTTTGGATATGGTTTAAGACTTTCCTTCTGAAATGAATTGATTTAACATGCAAATGAACTTGAACGACTCTATTTGTTAACATTTTTAGTGATTCTAAAACATTGCTTTAATGCCTTCCGTCCTTTTACTGAGTTTTAAAAGTACATCTTCTACGTTTTGAGCTTATTAATCATGTTTTTGTTATTTGGGAGGCTGTAGTTTGTGCTGTTGTAGATCTTAATTTCATTTCCCAGAATGGTGTTTATTTTTTAAGTCTACCCTCAGTGAGAGAGATGGGGTGGCAAAACAGTCAAAATACATACCTGTCAGTATACAAACAAATCTTTGTAGGTGAAAACCCAGTGGCCTATTGCCTTCCTTTCTCCTGTAATCTGCTGCACAGCTCCAAGCATAGCATTCAGACTTTAAATAGCATCTCTGTAAAGTATAGGACTCCCTTTTCCCCCTGTGTTTTACGTGGGAGTTTGTATATCTTAGGAAAGTACTTTGGTTCCACATGGTATACCAGCAGAAAACCAAAAGAGCATGACTGCCAGCCACCTCACGGGCCACGTGTGTCTGGCACTGCGTTGCTAGAGTTTACTTGACCTCTGACATAAAGTTAGTCCCCGGTGTCCATGTGGCAGAGACAGTGATGCGGTGAGACTGTTATACAATTATCTTGAAACCCTGTACCTTTTCCTGGTTTGTTCACAAACAAAATGAGAATGGCAGAGAGAACTAAGTGAGGAAACAGACTGAGAGAGTTTTGTGCGTTACTGTTTGTATGAATGCACATGTGTGTAAAGAGCGGAAGGCACATGAGGGAGATTGATTAAATGTGGGCACATTCAGTGTGTCAGCAAAAGTGGAACTGAATGACTGTCTGCTTTAATCTGCAAAGCCATATATCGTAGTGCTTGGCAACTCAGTGGAAACCAACATTACATGGAGTGCAATTGATCATAGATATCATAGTGGGGATATGTGCACGTGCCACTAGAATATGTGTTGCTTGTTTATATACACGTGAGAGGGAGAGAAAGAGACTTACTGTGTCCTATTTGGCATTTAGATGACTGTAGTGAAAAGGTTGTGGTGACAGCTAGGCCTAAAATGCGCAGTGACACATGAAAGGCCATCCACGGCAGGAAATTAGATTGAAGGGGAAGGTTAATATCCTGTATGGGCGATCCATCGTTAACTGGGGAGACGGGCAGTTAGCGCAGAGACACAGGGAAGCCCACCATCATAACGAGATAGGGACAGCGTCAGTTAAATGAGGTTAGAGAGTGATATTAATATGAGCTTTAACCACCAGATTACATCATTGCCTAAAAATTGATTCACTGGGGAGGTACGCGGGAGGGGAACACACTGACATTCCTGTGCTATATGTGGTGCCGTTGATGAGGTATTATGATTCCTGGCTGTGTTTGAGAATATAGTTCACTGGAAAAGTGACGGCCTTCTGCCTCCCACTCACTCTCTCTGTCTCCCCCTGACTCAGACACAAACACACACACTCAACACAACAGATGATCAGGAACTTTAGAGACACACAGAAGGGTGAGCTTGTGATGAATACTTCATCTATTTTAATGGCCTGAGAAAGCACAGGAAGATGTCAGGCTCTAGTGAAGCGAGACATGGACTTTCACTTCAAACAGCTCCATTGCGCACAAGGTTGGGGGGGCGGGGCAGACAAGGACGGCCCCATACCTGGCAGGGGCCGACGTGGGCAGCAGTGCAGCGCCTGTTTACTGTGAGTGACAGTAATAGGGATCCACTTAAGGACAAGCGTAGCTGTGTCAGCCAGCACGGCCAGCTGGCAAGTGGCTGATCTGCAGTCCTGTTTAATGATCCACATCGGGGTCGGGCCAGGGGAACATGAGGAGATACACAAACGATACCTGGCCTTTTCTCAAGCCCAATGCGGGAGAGCTGGCTCGTTCAATTAGTTAACATACAGTGTGGAATGATTGTAGCTGTTGAAGATGGATTACTATCCTTCACCCCTTTTTAGGCAGCTGTATACAGAGAAAGTTTACTTGCCCTCGTATTTACCTTTTATTGGTAATTTCTCAGTTGTTGCCCAAATGAATTAATCACTACATTTAAAACCAGGAAGGTGACTCACATTCTACCTCACTGGTAAACACCAAAGTCCAAAATGTTACTCTCCTTTTGGGCATCAGTGATAAATGAGGTAAAGGAAAACATCAGTGTTAAGAAACAAACAACTTTGACCAATTATGGACACAGCATGTGGACCCCCTTGGACCCCATCTGGTTTATTATGGTATCATTTATTTCAATTCTATGTAATCAAGGGAAGCTCTGCAAGGGAACTATTCCGGTTTGGGGTTATTTTTATTGATGTACACGGTAATTAGCTTGGCACTCGCTACTGCCTGTGGTTTCTGTTGAATGAAATAAAGCTGGGCTCCTCAGAATACCACCGCTAAGCTAGGAGAGGACAAAAGTTTAAACTAACAAAATTCAGACCGAACAGACTCTATAGAGGCTGGATCAAAGCAAACCCAGGACTCAATCCAGAATGTTTAGGCTACAATTATAGTGACATGTGCTAGACTCTGTACTCCGATTGGTTTCTTTGGAGAAGGCCTCTAACCTTTCATTTAGGAGTACATGGGCTAGGTCTGAACGCATCCAGTTTGCGGCTGTCTCTGACCCCGGTGGCATTGCCATGAAAGTTAAATATTGTCAAATCATGTTTAGTTGTTGACTGATGAATCTTCTGTAGCCGGCCCGTTGGCAAGGCAAGCAGACTGAATCACTTCCTCATCCTCTGCCATTGCTACTGATTCCTCCATAAACTTCCAGCAGCATTTCAAAGGTACGCCTCTGGCTATTTAATCTGAAAGACTACAAATAAAAGATTGGGACTCTTTGACAGGGCAGGAAACACAGCTGTGGAACTTAATACTGATATCTTTATGGTTGTAGTATCTTTAAAGTACTCTTCCTCTGACCTCCCTGCCTTCCTCCATGAACATTTAACACCTCGTCATCTTCTTTTTCATGATACTCACATTCCTCAGCTGTTTCCAGATGGTGACTGTGGAAACTCCACCATGTGACTCAGACTTCTGATCTCACTGTTAGAGACATGGTGTGGGTCCATATTGGAGACCCAGCCCAAACACTGACTAGTACCTGGTTAAATATAGTCCCAGGCCCTTGGAGAGCACAAAGCAAGCCTCTATTATGGCATCACGTGGCGAGTTGTTTTTCACCTTCATTTAGCAGAAAAGACACAGAGAGAGTAAATGACACAGTGTGAGACTAAGATGACATCTCCTCCTTGTTTGAGTCATCTGCCCGTCATAACATCAAGGCCCAGTCAGGAGGTCAAAGGCTGTTCTGCATGCCCCACAGGACCCCTGAGTGGGGAGGAAAATTAGGTTGTACCCTGCAAGAGCCATGTACATTTTTTAAGTTCACTGATAAGATAACGAATGTGTTGGGGTCTTACGTTACACCTCTCTCTGGTCATTTCCCATTCAAATCAACATATTTATGTAATTAGTTAGTGGAAAAAAGGGAAAATGTCCTGCACCCAATTTGTTTGTTGCTAAATGTAAATGTTATGTAGCTATGACTCAGCTGATCAATGTGTCTCCTGTCCTCTATTTCTAGGTGGCTATCAAGTCGATTCGGAAGGAGAAGATCAAGGACGATCAGGACATGGTTCACATCCGACGAGAGATTGAGATCATGTCATCCCTTCGCCACCCACACATCATCTCTATATATGAAGGTGAGGGTTTGCTGCAGAAACTCACACACATGACAGTTTATACCCGTGAATTTGCCTTGAATGCACATAAACAAAAACCTGTCCCAAAATTCACCCCTCACTCAGCTCATTCAGCACTTGTGGCCAAGCTGCAGGATTGTCATGTTATGACATGCAGATGTCATAATAAGACCGGGACTACAGCTCTGGGATGTTATTCATCTTCTTTTCTCTGTCTGGCTGCCTTGGCCAGTAAAAGTCGGGATGGCTTTTTGCCGGTGTGCATCTGGATCTCTCTTAATGTGTGTGTGTGCACGTGTGCGCTAGGAAGTTCGTGTGTGTAAGAGCGGTGGTATTCTAAGGGATTGCCTCTCCCACATCTAAGAGGTCCCATCTCTTGTCTTCTCTGGTCTTGATCTCAGGGCCAGACATCTGCTGATACTTAGAGAAAGGCTGCAGCTGGGATCCAGACTGTACTTGTGTGTGTGTGCGTCTTTGCCCAAATGTGTGTCTGCATAAGTCCTTGTGTATTTGTGTGAGCCTGTGTGCATGGTTGTGTGTGTGTGAAGCTAGGGAGACACTGCGTTGACCTTAGTCACCCAGGCCTGCACCCTGTCTGACTCTGACCCGGTGCTATGCAGAGGGAGGAAAGGCCTTAAGCCTTTTTTTTGGATAAACATCATATATCCAACCCAGGAAGCAACTTTCTAAATATCAAAGCCTTCAAGTCAGGCTTAAACGGCTCCTTTTTTTATATGAGCCCTTTTGAATGACCTTCATTCCACTGGAAGAAAGAAATAGATTGGAATAAATGCTGAGTGTAAAGGTTGAACAATTCCCATTGAATTATTTCAACATATTGCTTGCAATTAATCAGCTCTTATGATGTAGTCTGGGCCTACAGTACATCTGGGCAATTAAAGTCACAAGGCAGCCGCAGTGTGGGTCGGTTTCATATGATTTGTGACTCGTGACTATTTTTATGCCTGTGTCAACAAAGCAACAGTTTCTATGCCCTTTTCAGGATAGCTGCCCTGGCACAATGGCAGCCAGTTGTGTGCCACTGCCCGAAGTGGCTTACCCACTGTTCTTTGTTCAGTGTCAAAGTCCCCAGGTTGTTATCAGAAAGAGAATCGGTGACAAACACTACTATTTGTCATGGGAACGTGCCAGAAGTCAGCTGGAGATCTGAAGTGCAGCCAAGTTTAATGTGTTTTAGATTAAAAGAACACCCAGTTTATAAACTCCAAGGAGTCTGTATGGTGTTCCTATGTGTGCTGCCTTCCTTTATATGGAGCCAACTCCACCAACAAACTCAACCAGACTCATTGGTCTCACTCTTTGGTGTTTCTCCTCAAACCCAGCGTTAACTGTTGTGGCCTGGCCTCCGCCCGGCCTTCCTTTAGAGATATATAGGAGGCCCGAGATCTGTGTATCCGGCAACACCCTCTTCAACAGCCCCTGCTAACTGCCTTGTGTGAAGCAAAGCTGAACCAGATGTGTGTGTGAAGATTGATTTGTACCACTCCCTCAAATTCTGCATCCATCAGCAAGCTGTGCGGGGCATTTAAAAGCAGATTTCACTCTTCACTCCTAGGGTGCCCACTTTTTTAAACCAAAATAGTCGGACAAATTGTCCTTTCTACACATTTTTGAATGAGTCAACCAAACAACATGTAGCATGTTAATTAAAGAGCTTTAGAGGTGGTGATAGACACATTTTGTTGCCTTGGGAAGGAGCCAGACTGACGGTTTTCCCCTTTTCAAGGCTTAACGCTAAGCTAAAACTGACTGGATGCTCGCTGTAGCATCATATTTGGTGTACAGATATAATAGTCATATTGATCTCTTAATCTCACTTTCTGCAAGAAAGCTAATTAGTGTATTTCCAACTACGCTAAAGGAGAGAAGTGGAAATAAGAAGGAGATATAAAGTTTGAACAGACATAAAACCAACCATTCTGCGGAGAGCGAAGAGAAACCATTTTATTACCACATTCTCAAGACGTGACATAAGCCCTGATAGTAATTAGTATCGTATGTTTTGGTAGCTCAGTTCAGTAAATAATAACAAATGAAATGATTAACCTGTTGATTGTTATCTGCGTAAAAATACCTCAATCAAAAAGTGTGGAGTTTCAAATGCTTGCTTATTTATTGTTTGCATCAATAGTACTTTAATACCCTTCACTTCATAGTACTCTTCTTGCACTGTACGCAGGCTTGCAACACTGTCTATCATTAGGGCAGGCAATAAGACAATAGGTGCTAATAGTTTAGAGGTGAGGGCCCGACCTGTGAACAGAAAGTGTTGCCTGACAGCGAGGCTGCAGTGGTGGCTGGTTTACCCAACAAGCTGTAATAAACCCAAGTTATGTAAGCCAGGTAATTACTTTACCACCATGGGTCAAAGGTAAATGGGAGTGCACGCTGAGAATTGGCTCTCCAAGCGCAACCCCACCATGGATCGCCGTGAATGTCACCCCAGGTCACCACTCTGTCCACCAATCAGAGAGCCGGCTCTCTTCTGGCCTCCCTGGTGCTTCCCAAACAGCCAGACAGTCCCAATCAGGAAGCATTACCATCACTCAGCAACTGTGTGTTTTTGTCGAGGATTATATCTCTAAAAGGACCCTGGGAGGTGGGGTGAGGAAAGTAGTGTGACAAACTATGAAGGTGCTCACTCAAGGGTGCAGAAAGCAGAGGCCCTCACCCCCGGTGACCCTGCTGTGTGGGAAAATCAACCCGCACAATACCGAGCAACATGGCTGACTGTGTTGTTGTCATCTCCTCAGTGTTTCCTTCTGTCCCTCTTTCTCGCTCCTCACCTCCCTGCCTAACCATTTCATTCCCTTCATGCCAAGGCGAAGGCGCTGGGAGAGAAGTATGTTGCCAAGTTAAAATTATACACCAAAAGGCTAAATACTGACACAGAATTATACGTTTGGTGACTGCTGATGGACAGGAATGCAATACAATGATACAACTGTAAGAACGCTACTTTCTCCAGTCACCAGATGTGTACCAAGTCGGCATTCAAAAAGTCAGTTTGTAGATTAATTTCCCAGCTTTCTTACTTTTGATTTGCGCTAATCAAATAAAATTTCTGTTCAGATGATAAGCAGTAGATACAATATATTATAACTGCTATGACTTTAACAAGTAAACAAAAAACACAGGACATGAATATATCTTGGCTTCCTTTATTATTCAAACACAGAAAATCATGACTCAGTCTGAGAACAACAAGAGGACGCTCTTACCCTTGCTGAGTAATACATTACTTATTCTATTATAAATATAAGACACATTCTGCTGCGAGAAGGGAAGATTGTGCCGTGTTGCCACAATAAACTATTGTACAATCATGTATATGATATGGACAGTCAGTAGGGTGGTTAAGAATGTGGGAGTGGGTTGTGAAATGTGCTGACATGATGTGAATTTGAAGTGTTATACATCAAGGACATCACCTGACACTATACTATAATACCCAAAACTGACTTTCTCTCCATGAAATTGTTCCTGCTTTCTCTCTGTTTCCACTGCTCTCCACCTCACTCTGGTCTCTGAGGGGTGGGCTTGATTAAGTTAACAGCCTCTCCCTGCAATGTTGTGAAGGAGCCAGACACATGAGGTGGGGTTTGGTGTGATGTAACCCTGGGAGAAATGTAGAGATGTAATGTGCTCCTCTGGAATTTGTAGTCCGGCTCCAAAACTAGAGGAGGGGGGGGGTGACTGGTTTATTCGGGTTTTCCATAACATTGTTCATTATGTGATATTACTATGAGAGAAAGAACCTGGAATGACTTGTGAGTTGTCTGCCATTTCACTTGCTGTTAATACAGATGTATTTTTCCTTAAAGTAGATATTAAGGATTGCTTTCTTATAATTTTCAGTGTTTGAAAACAAGGACAAGATTGTGATTGTGATGGAGTACGCCAGCAAGGGCGAGCTGTATGACTACATCAGCGAGCGCCGGCGCCTGAGCGAGCGGGAGACGCGACACTTCTTCAGACAGATAGTCTCCGCCGTGCACCACTGCCACAAGGTGAGAAAACCCACACCACACTATACATAGAGAAAAAGCACGCATTTTTATTTTTGTTGGTCACCTAAGTCTCTCTTTGCCTCACGCACACACATCCAGACTTTGTTTTCCAGGCCACAGCATGCTTACTGTAACATTAACCATGCACCTCCAGAGTCAGCTATACAGCCAGTTAATCTGCGGGCCCTACATAGTATGCTTTTCTTGGCGCTGGTGTAAGGGAGTCATCTGTTTCTGAGTGAAGATAGAACACAGGCCAGTTTAATTCAGGCTTACACTCAGATTTCAGTGCACCAAACAGTCCCTAAATTAATTCTGTCCTCATCTGTTGACACTCTGATGGATGTCCCAAGATACTCCTGAAGCTTTTCCCCAGAGATTTAGCTCCAGCCACGCCTCCCATGTCAACCTCTGATCCACACCTCACTAAACCCCAAGGTCCCAGGGCTTGTTTGGATGGGCTCCCCTCGTGTCATCCGCTACCCAGCTGCAGATAGGGATGATGTCATAGCCACTCAGATAGGAGAGTCCCAGACAGCCATGAATGATGAATCATCACCACCAAGCACAACCTCCCACCGGGTGGGGTGGTGTGAGTCACTGACACAACAAGCAAACAACCACATCTTCTTTGTATCCACCAATGATAGTCATGAGAACATGAGCTTCCTGCCAGGCAATAACCAATTGGAGATGCTCTGCGGAGCGCAGCCCTGGGGGGCGGTGTGATGGGTGAAGTCACTCCTCCGCATCTGAGCTAGGTTCAGCCTGTCTGCATACCACATGTTAATTCCAGGGTTTTAAAAAAAATCAGGCATGGTTGTTTTTTAATCCCTGGATGTTGTGAGAACATCATTCATACAGGGTGGTAATTACAGGCTAATGTTTATATGACACATGTGAGTCGACTTAAAAAGAAAATTACAGCAGATGTCAGCATAAAGACCCCAGAGGGGACAAGACCAATTAAAGAGTACTAGACCAACAGGCTGCCTTGATTTCCCCCGAGAGCCACAAGCTAGCCTTGTCGGAGTAAATCATCGCTTAATACAATGGACTGTTTATTATTTGGATCCATCTCTGGTGAATAATGAATCGATACATGCATCAATCACAGCTTTGTTTTTCCCTCATTGTTTTTCAGAATGGAGTGGCCCACAGGGATCTGAAACTGGAAAATGTGCTACTGGATGAAAACGGTAATATTAAGGTAAGTTTGCCCGTTGATCTGTGATACATCACCTACAGGACTATACAGCACAACTGCAAATGATCTTTGTGTGAGGGATTCAAGCTCACATGTATACCCCTGTTTCCACAGATTGCTGATTTTGGACTGTCCAACCTCTACCATAAGGACAAGCTGCTGCAGACCTTCTGTGGCAGCCCGCTCTATGCTTCACCAGAGATTGTCAATGGGAGACCTTACCGTGGCCCAGAGGTGAGGCCCAGTGAACCAAACAATGACAATGGCTTAAACCCCAGCTGTTTGTGTGTGAACTTCATTTCTAGGACACAATTTCCTTTTATCTATTCATCATCACCATTGTCCTCCCTAGCTGTTAAATGTGGTACTAACCTCCCAGAGTGCTCACCTTAATTAGCTTTTATCTTTATTATCTCACGAGTGATTATCATCATTACATATGCCATACACAAAGAGGTGGATAGGCTTTATTTTCTTCTTCTTTGATGGGATTACTGTTAGTAGCTATTCAAAGGGAGGTCTCTCTTGCAACTCCACAGTTGGTCAGCTCAGATACTGTCTGCATCCCTTTCCTATCCTCCCCTTCCTAAAATGCCTTGGTCCTTTGAAGTGAGGAACTGGAGGATAGTTTTTCCTCACTTTCTCTTCATCTTAATGGGCTCGGAATGATCCTCCACAGCCTCAAAGAGACGCTCATGGTCAGAGTAACATAGTTTTGGGGAGAGAAAGAGTAAAAAATGTCTCCCCAAAGCCACTTATCTGGCAATTCCAGGCTCATTCTGAAGGGCGTCGTCTCTGAAATTGCATCAGTTACATAAAACAAAGCAAAATACCGGGGAAAAACTTGCATTTTTAGATATTCAAGTCCAACCATTCAATTTAGCGTAATTCACTATAATTTCCTCCAGAGTGCTAAAAGCTACAGCAGTCCGATTGCAATCGAAATTATACAAACCCCGTTGGGGTGAGGCCACAAATTACAGCAAACACAAGCAACGAAAATAGAACACAACAATAGTGCATGCCCCGTCTCGCCCTCGGGAATCGACCAGTGGCAAAAAGAGAGAGAAACACATTCTTGATGTGGGTCCAGAAGATCCTTTAGAGGAAGTACACAAGCTCTTTAACTGGCCATATCTGATTTCCTCTTCCTAGACTATGTCTCGGAGCTTTAGCTACCATCAAAAGCACATTCCTCAGGACAACTCATCCTCCCTTAACCACAGTCAATACACACACATACATTACAATTCCCTCTCACACACACACAGCGAGACAGGTCATCTGCTGACGACTCAATGGCAGCGTGTCTCTGGCGAGTCATCAGGGGCCGTCACAGCCCTGCTGGTCTCATTATCCGGGTCCACTCCCACCACTTCCCACGTGGCTCTGCATCTCCTCATGCCCCAGACACAAAGTCTTATGTAACCGCTTACTTAGGAAGCCACATTGCATTAGGTTGGTGGTCAGAAAGTGCTTGCTTCTGCTTGACAGAGCAGGAGACAGTGAGTGGGGGGAGGGGGGGGGATTTATCTGTGGAAACAAGCCATTTCCCACCAGCGTACAAGCATTTTGTCATTGTTATTATATGAAAGACATGCAAGAAAAGCACTGTGAAAGCTCTTTAACAGAGATGTTCTTTTGTGTTGATTGTGTGAAAAACTGATTATGATGCTTATTAATGTCAATGTCAACTCAGCTGATGGTCTGAAGTTCGACAAAACTGCATTTTTAATTGAATAGCACCAAATATAGCACCATTTTTGTTTTATTGTCCTACTGCAAACAGTATGCCTGTTTTATTTGATAGGCAGTGTGTGTGCTGCATATGATGAAGTAGTTTCTAACCAGACTATTTGCTTTCTAAAGGTGGACAGCTGGGCTCTGGGGGTGCTGCTGTATACCCTGGTCTATGGGACGATGCCATTTGATGGGGGAGACCACAAGAACCTCATTCGCCAGATTAGCAACGGCGACTACAAAGAACCTACTCAGTCCTCAGGTACTGCGGGAACCTCTGTTTGTATTTCTACTGCTTTTTCCCATGGTCAAAAAACATACCTGATCCCACTGCCCTTTATAAAACTAAATCATAAACTATACTTGCAAATCCAGTTCAGCTGAACAGCAGATAGAGTCAGAGGTACACCATTCGTCAGATCCTGAAATCATTGACCCTTGTCTTTCTGTCTATAAATTGTACAGCACTCACTTCTTTATGTGAATTCCAGAAAATACTTTAAGGTCTGTGGGATGTTGGTCCATAAATACTTGAATGGAATATGGATCCAACCGCTTTTAATGCACAACATGTGGAATCTGCACAATCCATTAAGCAAAATGCTCTTTTTGCCCGTTTTGTTGACAGTATAAAATAACTCAATGATAGTTCCTCAGCTACTGAACTGTCATACTACCTGTTGATTTTTTGTTACATATTAACCCATTACATTTAAGTAAGACTGAGGAGTAATTGGTTCACAAACTCAATTATATAATAGGAACTTGAGGCACATTTCCATTTAAAATTCATTATTTCTCAGGAAAATTACAAAAAAATAAGTTTTAATGGCCAAAATAATCTTGAATGTTACTAAACTAATGAAACTCACATGTGGGGAGTTCTGCCTCTGCCCTGGGTTGTTGTGTTATTTCACTGAGGATGCATTATTGTGGTTTAAACTGAACAGTGGAAAAATAACATTTAGCGACTAATAGTTTAAGTAAGTTTCTTTTTTCAGATCTTTAGTTTTAATTGAATACTTGTAACTTTTTTTACATACATACTTAATTATTCTTATGTCATTTAAGATGCACATCAACCATGGGCAGTTCCAGGGTCTTTGAATCTAGACATTCAAAACTCAAACTCCACTTCTCTATTAAATAATCTCTTATACAGTACAGGTAAATAGACGTTTTGCTAAGTGGTGTATAACATCAGACGGCTTACAGTTTCTTCATGTTCTATTTCCTGCTAGATGCACGTGGACTGATCCGCTGGATGCTGATGGTGAACCCCGAGCGCCGGGCCACAATAGAAGACATAGCCAACCACTGGTGGGTGAACTGGGGCTGGAAGAACAGCGTGTGCGACTGCGAGACCCAACGAGACCACGGAGGCTCGCCCATGCTGGCACGCTTCATCGAATGGCAGAACCGCACTGAGCCACGTGGTTCTGGAGCCAAGGCTGCAGCCGCGCCCCAGCTGCTGCGTCAGAGGCCCAAGAAGTCCAAGAAGGAAAACGGCGAGGCAGGAGAGGCCCACTGTGGAGAAGAAGACAAGCCCGGGCTGAAGAGACCCAAGGGGATCCTGAAGACCAGGCTCACTGAAGAGCAGCGAGCCTCCAGTCTGGAAGAAGCCGAGTCGGGCCAGGGAGCGCTGCCTCAACAAGCTGAAGGGGGAGATGACGCCTCAAGCCCAGATCAAGAAGAAGAAGACGAGCGGAGTTCGGGTGGAGGCTCGCCAGCTAAGATGGTGCCCTCTCTGCCCAGGAAAGGCATCTTGAAGAACAACCAACAGAGGGAATCAGGGTACTACTCCTCGCCAGAGCGCAGCGAGTCCTCCGAGCTTTTAGGGGGCGCCAGTATGTCTCTGCTAGCCACCTCCCCGCCAAGGAGAGCGATGGGGAGAAAGGGCATCTTGAAGCGAAACGGCAAGTACTCCACCTACAGCGGGCCTCCATCAGCAGCAGCGGTGGCTGGAGTCCTCGGCGAGCCTTCTCCATCAACCGACTCTGGTCTGTCCCGCAGTCAGAGCCGTCCCTCCAGCATCGTCGGGGAGGACAGCTCCGCCCTGTCCCTGTCGCCCAGCTCCCTCAGCGGGGCCGAGTGGCATTCCTCCACCCCCCACCTCCGCCCAAACATCAGGGCCTGCGTCTCGGCTGAAAACCTGCTGCAGCTCGCCAACTTCAAGGGCTTCCAGACTGCCCCACCGCTCCAGGGATCCAAGTTCAGCCGTGGCTCCAAAACGAAAGGTTCCCCGGGGGACAACGGCAGCTTCTCCCTGCTGGGGGACCTGGAGGACATGACTCAGGTGTACCAGCAAGCCCTGGACATCAGCGGCAACCTCACCTAACAGATGGGTGGCAGAGAGAATCCAACATGACTGTGTGTGTGTGTATGTGTGAACGGAGACAGGCGGCATTAACGACCAGTGTGTTGCTGGGATACACCTTTTGGGAAGTAGTGGTTTTCCAAATGGGCCTGAAATCTTGATAAGATGTCTTCGCACATACACACACACTTAGGTGCACTTCTCTGGCCAGAGGGAAATCCAGTTAGGGTTTTTTGAACCAGAGAGAGGAGCTGGCACGAGAATGCCACCCAGTCGGCTTTCTTGGCCCGCCCATAGACTTTGCTGTGTTCAACATGTTTACATATTCAGCAAGAAGGCAAGTTAGAATCACAAACGCAGCAACCAGGTTGGCTCTCCTTGTACCACGCATTCTGAGTTTAAGTTTACACGAGCACCTTAAAACTCACGGAGAGCACATGCTTTTGTGATCTTTACTTCCTTTAAAAAAAAGAAAAGAAACAAACCAGGGTCTTGTTCCAAAAATAACTGACATTGCTGATTATTTATTAATATTTTTGTAGCTTCTCTAGTGCAAAACTGGTGGGTGCTGGCTGTTACTGGAAGAGTCTAAATCTCCAACTCTTTGTGTGGAACTGACATATATAATTATGTTACTCAGTGATGAGAAACATATATATACTCAGCATATATAACTGTGTCTGCGCTTGTAAAACATGCAGGCAAATATACTTTCAGAAAAGCGTATGTCCTATATATGTGTATGATACTAGGGAATATGTAGGAAGTGCCTTTTTTGATTCATAATACAAGATTATGTATGTCATTTCCTTAAAGTGGAGGGAAAAGCCAGGCCAACCTGTCACCAGTTGTGCTTTTTGAAATGTTTTTTTTGAATGTGGAGAAACCCAGGGCCTTTAGCTCACAGCTGAATAGCTTTACTCTGTCGCGGTTCAAAGGTCAATCTCAAACAGTTGAGATCAAACAGTCTCGTCTCCTTCCCCCCTGCTCCTAGATTCACACACAGATATGCTAGGATCTACAGGCCCCCTCAGAAAGAACTCCTCTGTGTTCTTTGTCAGTGTTTAAGCCCATAGTTTGGGTTGTCAGCAGTTTAGGTGGTTTGGTTGCATATTTACTGGCAGCACCCTAGATCTGGAGGGACTCACCTTGTGGGGCATTTAGTGAAGGGAGATGGCGCAGACACCATCTCACAGTCCTGGAATGTGCCTGGCTCTCTTAACCTTGGTTGTTTCACATTTCCAGGGCTACCTAATAGAACCGGCTTTTTAGTGAGATATTCAGTTTTCTTGTTGTTTGTTTAGCCAAAGACACATAAGGTGGTTTTCATTGTCAGACTAGTTAATATTTTACCCCTAAGCTCTTCAAAAGAGCTAGATAGGCTGGTTTGTTTAGCCTGCTGATGACACATTGAATTCCTCAGACAAAGGCTGGAGACGTGTTGGTGCTAGAGATCTCTATCAGCCCCGGCCCGACTCAGCACAGGTGGGTCTGCGGTCCGCACTCAGCCCTCCAGCTGTGTATACTAGTCCATTATGTCAACCAAGCACAATTAGCCAGCTATTGTTTTCATTTGAGAGTAAGAAAGAGGCAGTGTGTAAAGATTTATAGCTAGAGGGAGAAGAAAGGAGTTTTGAAAGAATGATGCTTGGGAAGGTGCTAAGATAAGAAAGGACTTTCCTATTAAACACAGGAAAGGTCAAGGAGTTCGAAAAGTTGTTGAAGGAATTGCGAAGTAGAATAGTGAACGTAAAGAAAGTGAGTAGAAAGAATAGATGGAAAGTAGTTGTTTTTACACCAAAGATGTGATGAAGCTTTGGGATGATTCAGGGGACGGAGAAGTCTGAAGTTAATGGGATTCCTCTGGAATGTTCTTTGACTTTGGAATCCCCATTGGTGAATGAAATCATCCCCGTTTTAGCTTTAGCTCACGGTTGTTTTATTTTTCTTTTCAGCTTTTATTTGAGATGCCGGAGGCTGTTGGTACAGCTTGTCTTGAGGATCAGTCAGTGTGTGACTTCTGTGTCCTGTATGGCCTTAGAAAGTGTGTAACATTTTTCCAAAGCAGTAAAACGTGGGAAAACGATGACTGATATCCAAAATATGAAATGATGTAGATGGAAAACCATGCAGTAGACGACCCTGAGAGAAAAAGATCACATGTTGAATGTTTTCAGGTCCTCTAGTGTAGAGCAAAGGTCCTGGGTATGGATTCAAATAAAAGACCCATTGCGTATTATATTGCATTTTATTGCCTTTTGTATTGCCTTTTATTGTCAACTGGATTTACAGTGAGAAAATTATACTATGTTAGTATTTTTGTTTTATTATGCTTCTGTTTTTGATTTTCCAAAATATAAGAAACTTTATATTGCTTTATGTTATGGCAGAAAATACTTCTTTCCTTGAAGTATTATAATTTCTCTACAGAAATGGACAATTCTGATCTGAAATTGGTTAAGTCTCAGTTTTCTCCTGTTTTAAAACACTTGTGGGTTAGAGAAGCCCTTTAACAACCTCAAGATAGCACAAACCAACTACATTCATTGGAATAGAGCAAGTATATGTATTAATGTATCAATGGCCAACCATAAGAAAATTGCATTTCCACCTCTACCAAAGCAGAGGAGGTCCATAAAGCTGTAACAAAATCAGGAGGAAAAGGAAATAAAGCAATGGAAAGAATCTGACGATGATACTTAAACTCTGCCAAACTGGAAAACGTGGTGCATATCTGTTAGTTAGCAGAAAGTCTAATCATAGGAAAACTTGACTGGATATTGTTATGACAATAATGATAAGTTAGTATTGATATGTTATTTAAGTATTATTTTCGTTATGGCTCATTACTATTGATGGCTATTGCCACAGTTTTTGTTGTCTGTTGGTGATCCTGGACTGCCAAGGTGGATTAAGTTGCGTGCCTTCGGTATCTTTTATGAACTGTTTTTTGATAATGAAAATGATTATCAATCTTTTTTTATACTTGTATTTATTGGTGATTAAGCCATTTAATTTGTTGTTAAAATTCATGTTCATGCTTTTGGCCTGCTTTAGACTGTGTGTTGTGTCCAGGACGTACTGCACAAAAAGTAGTTTTTTCGAACTAAAATTGTATCATCTCATTGTGAGGCAGCAGCCAAGCGTGTATTTTTAAGATCAACAAATCAATAACAGTTCTTCAAATCCTGTAAAATGTCTTAATTCATCCATCTGGGTGTATTTCTACTCAACACGATGCCTCTGTTGTACTGTATCAACTCAATAAATGGATCTTGAAAGTAACACGTGTGTTTGTTTATAGCTTTGTCATCTAAGTTTCAAAAATTACAACATTCCCTTGAAGTGGATAGGGAAAAGCTCCAGTAAATATAGGTATAAATTACTCTGGGGAAATAGCGGTGAGTATATGACGTCCATTTTGCAAGTACCCTACATCCCCTGTACAACAGTGTTATTTTGATCTGTAGATTTCAAGCCTGATCTCCAATGGCCGCTTTAAAACGTTTTTTCTGATTTGACCCAGTGGTGGAATGGGAAAAACAAATATTCCCAGAGGTCAGACTGGGACCGAACTACAGAAACAATACTGTCTTCTTACAGTATGGACCCATGCAAAAACCAACTATTATTGGAGAGATGTCCTCATTTATTTTCCTTTTTAAGAATATGTGTCCCAAAAACCTACATGAAGGCATGAATGAGGTCAGCAGTGGTGCTCCACAAAGCAGAGGTTCTATTTTCATCCTTAGCTCTAACTTAATGAACATAATAATTAATGGGGGGAAAGACTGGGGTGAAAGGCCCACATTTGAAGATCAGGTCATTTTGAGTCAGTTTGAAATATTTAGTTAAAACCTCATGGCCTACTTTGAAGCAAAGCAGAGAGAATGTTCCAGTTTTAGGACTGAATTTAGCCGATGTTTCCACACAGACTCAGCCTTAAATTAACTAGGATTTTAAAGTAATACCCCTCACAAAATTGTTTTTTAAGCATTTAAAAGGCAGTCCCCTTAAGCTTAAAAGGTGGCTGTCATTCTTTTTGCAGTGTTGATCCTCACAGAGCACAGCACGTACTGTATGGTCAGCTTGTCGGTTACAATAAAGTTAATAAGTGGAAGGTTCTATCCGTTCAAACATGCATCAAAACAACCCTGATGGTAAAAGCAAACCTTTTGTTTAGTTCCTAACACAACATCTTGTGAAGGAGCTCATTAGTGGGCAAACACTTTGGTTTATGCACATTTGAGAGCCCACTTCCTGCACTTACATTGGTCGGATCTGGTTTGTTGCTTTGTTTATGAATGATGTCATTTTTGAGTGAGATGCTCTTAAACAACATTAACAATAACAAATGAACCAGATTGAGGTTTATCAGGTCATCCAACAGATGAGCTAAGACGGAACAGTTTTCATGGACGGTAAAGCTGCATGTGCAAGTGAACAAACTAATGTAGTGTGTACATGCACATTGAAACTGAAATACTTACAGTAATGATGGTTATTATCTATTTTTCATCAAAGCTCATCACTTTCTCTCCTTCTCACTCTCTTTAATCTTCATTGGCTCACAACAAAGGGGCGCTGACTCCCTGGACATTTCTACACTTATCCACTATTAAAACTGGCCAATGTTGGAATAGACTGTCTAAAAGAGTGTTTTCATAAAAGAAGAAAAGGACCTGTGTTCGCACCAGGATCCAGTTGAACAGAGTTAAAGTAAATTATTCTGTAAATTAGTTATGTGACAAAAGTATTGATATTACATCTTTTACGAACATTGTTGATTTTTGGACCCAGCACACCTGCTGGTAATTACTAAAACAGTCTCTGGAGAACAGCAATTATATTTTTCATAAGAAAACTGACAGATTCAAACAAACAGCAGCAGACAACATAGAGCAGAGAGCATAGTTCGTGCCTGGCTGGGGGAAGAAGTAAGAGTGTCTGTTTTTAGGACTTGGAGAGTCAATTGATTGTCGAGGGAGAACATTGCTGCTGCCGGGTTAATTTGATCCACATTTTGCAAGGAGGAATGAGTGGGTGACTGGAAGCTTTTGCAGTCTTCCTGGGATTTGGTCCTGATGAGCAGGACAGCACCCCCGCTCGTCCTGGCCAGACACAAGCAGCAGGCCTTGAAAGAAGACAACATCAAATACTTCAACAGTATGGCACAGAGCAGGATTCAAGTTTCCTCAATCACACATTGGAACTGTTATCCGAAGTCTAGAAAATTGGCCTCTGTAAGCTTGTAAGGGCTATAAAAGTACCCTTTAAACCTCCTATTGAGAAAATCCCCCCTACATCAATGTTTATTTTTGTCACACTGACAGTGAATGTAAGAAAATTATATCAATCATTGTCTAAAGTCATTATTTCTTTTTGGGAAGTTTTCTGTAAAAGATAATTATCCTTGAAACAAGCGCATTTATCTTTTTTTTAATGCAAATTCCAGTTGTCTAAGTCAGAGGTGAGCAAGAACAAACCTTCTACAATAATACAGTAAAAACGTAATTATGCATCTATCGATATATGTATGGTTAGACATATCCAAAGACAAATACAGACAGTGTTTTGGAGAAAAGAAAATGTTTCTTTTGAGATTCCAACGACTGCACCCCTGACACTGATAGGATCTGAGTTTCAAAGGGATTTTTGTATGTCTCCAGAACAATTTTTGCTTCACTTTTTGACCCTTAAATAAAGTCCAGCTGCTAGACCCTCTGAACTATTCCCTCTTTCACCGCCCTTCCTTCATATGCAGAAGGTGAGTCTGTTTGTCCCCGGAGGTGGGGGTTTATTGGTGGAGACGGCATACCCAACTGCACATTCAAAATGCCAAACAACCCCAGACCCCTCCCCAAAAACCCCTTCCGGTCTTTCTGTATGACCCCGACTCTATGCCTTGCAGATACGGAGGTCTGCATAATGTTGGAGGATATAAGCTTTTCTTTACTCCTAGCATGAAGCAGACTTTAAAAGAGGGCCTCTCTCTTCGAATCCCCCTCGAGCTGCAATCGGATAAAAGCTATCACACGCAGAGGGATTTGTGACATGGAATTTGAAGACATTTACACTTCACATCAGTTTACAACTGTTTTTGTCTGCCGAAAAAACGACTACATAAAGTAGGGGGATATTCTGAAAATTGAGCAAAAAGCAGTGTGAGGACTTGGCGATGGTCAGTGCTGCCTTAGCGCGTCTGGCTGCTGTTGCAGGCAGGATGTTCCACAGTGGAGGTTTAGGGTGGCTGTTGTAAACCGAGCTGCCCGTTCATTGCAGGAAAAATAAACAGAGGGCCGGGCCTGAAGAAAGTCCTGAGTACAGTGGAGCATGTGTTCCTTTGCTTAGCTGACATATTGTTTTAGAAATAACAGTCTGAGAGGCTGCTTTCCATGCTTTTGCACACACACACACACACACACACACACACACACACACACACACACACACACACACACACACACACACACACACACACACACACACACACACACACACACACACACATAGACATACACTAAGATGCATGGACATACTCGCATATACATGTTTTTATAAGTCCTCTTTCATTCTTTTTCGCTCTCGCAAAAAGCACTCACACAGGTTCCCTAACTCACAGCCCTGCAGGACTCCTTTTCCTCTGCGCCGCTGTGATAACATTGTGACTGGATATGGAATGGAATAAACCACCCTCCTTTCCTGCTCAGCTTCCACTCCTCTATCATTCATCCTCCATCAAGCGAGCCCCCCTCCGCACAAACAGCTCTCCATCCCTCTCCTGTCCAGATGACTATTTTTAGCGGCAGCGCTGCTATTCTGGAATTTGTTGCTGACTGGCTGCTGCTGGGTGTCTGGGCGGCGATCTCTTCAGGAATGTCTGGCCCTCTCTCAAACCACTCCAGAGTCCCAGCGCAGGGCGGACGCCTCGGGGCTCTGATTACAACTTTAAGCCCGCTGAAGCTGTAGCTCACTTTTCCTCCAGCAGAAACACAAAGAGCGAGGGGAGAGAACTTTATCTGTCCTGTAACACTGATTTGCTTTTGTGCATGAATGGCCTTTTGTCTGCGTCTATGTGTACTTTTGTTCTTATATTAATTAAATCGTAAGGACAACATTCTGTTAAAACAGTCACTCCTCCAATTTGATCTCCAGAGAAACATATTTTAGGGTTAGAAACCAGGAAGCTTATCATACATACACGGGGGAAACAGCTAGCCTTGCTCCCATCATCAGCTAAAAAAACAAAATCTGTCTTTTGATTTTCATGGTTGTAAATTGTATATTTTTCCATCAAAAAACATACCAGTGTGAGTTAGTTCGATTGTTTACCGTTGTACTGGCATGCATTGCATTTCATTTAGCTGACGCTTTTTATCCAAAGCGACTTACAATTACCAATTACAGGGACATTCTTCTTAGTAACTAAGGACTAAGTGCCTTAGTTACTAGTTACTAGTGGTGGTGTTCCTGGCGGGATTTGAACTCACAACCTTCCGATCTTCAGCCCACCTCACTATCCATTAGACCACCACTATCCTGCCTACTATCACTAACTGCATGCCTGTAGTTTACTTCTCTTTTCAGTCCTAATGCTAAGCTATGCTAAGTGGTTGCTGACTAGCCTTCTGTCTTTTGGACAAACATGAGAATAGTATCCACCAGAACACAGAGGAAATGCGCTGTTGTCCCTGACTCAACTTCACCACTTGTGAAGTGTACAAATATTTTGTGTATATTACGAAACAGTGGCATGCTGCAATTAATTGCATTGACTAAAACGTATTCAAATGGATTTGCTGATTGCCAGAGTCTATATGAAACAAAGGAACCAATACTCAATAACCCAAATCTGATTTGAATCAAAAGAATCTTAGACGGATACAGCCCTGGGGTATGGTTAACGTTTTGGTCAATCTCCAGGAAATGAATGAAAGTCTATGCTTACGTTATTTGGTATGTTTGTTTGTGTGTGTGTGTGTGTGTATGTGTGTGTATGTGTGTGTGTGTTGTGTGTGTGTGTATGTATGTGTGTGTGTGTGTGTGTGTGTGTGTGTGTGTGTGTGTGTGTGTGTGTGTACACTTGTGTTATGCTGCGCTTGTGTGTGTGGTCCATGAAAAGAAAATAAGCAGCACTAATGGGAAGTTTTTCCTGTCTTGGATCAGGCTTTAGGGGTTTCAAAGCAAAATTGTTTGCAGTGGAGAGAACGCCATCCAAGCCCACCTGTTGCTCATGATTGCATAGATCCGCTTGAGCTGGGCCTTGTCGAGAGACATACTGCAGT